CAAATGACTCATAGTTAAGAACGGGGCTCAGACAACATGAAGTGAGAGAAATCTACCCCTCGGAAGAGAAATCCACTCCTAGAAGAGTGATCATGGGGAAAAGGTGTGTCCGCTGAAGCTTTATCACCAATCTTTGTTTCCACAACAAGCCAAATGTTTCAAATTCCAATGATCACACAACAGAAAGTTCAGTGAAATCTTCTGAACAGGGGCACAGACAACAAAACAAACAGCACAGGAATGTTAACCCTTCCCTATGCTTTCCAAACCTAAACAATATATATATATATATATAAAACTGCGCTCCATGCAGTCATGCCGGCCACATGACCTTGGAGGTGTCTATGGACAACGCCAGTTCTTCGGCTTAGAAATGGAGATGAGTACCACACCCCAGAGTCAAACATGACTGGACTTAATGTCAGGAGACAACCTTTACTTTAGGGTTATATATATAGGGTTGCTGTGAGTTTTCCGGGCTGTAGGATTATTTGGAACACGCTTCCAAATGAAATACCATTGACCCCATCCCTCCTGGCATTCAGGAAGAAATTAAAATCTTGGTTTTGGGACCAGGCTTTCGGACAATAAACATAAAGCAGCACTTTGACTGGAAATGGATTGGCAAGACGATATATATGAGGATACGGTTTTATTGTTCTATCAATGGGTTTGTGGACTGAGTATTGTTTTAATGACTGTTATGATAATTTGGTTATAATTAATTGCTATTCATAGAATCATAGAATCAAAGAGTTGGAAGAGACCTCATGGGCCATCCAGTCCAACCCCCTGCCAAGAAGCAGGAATATTGCATTCAAATCACCCCTGACAGATGACCACCCAGCCTCTGTTTAAAAGCTTCCAAAGAAGGAGCCTCCACCACACTCCGGGGCAGAGAGTTCCACTGCTGAACGGCTCTCACAGTCAGGAAGTTCTTCCTCATGTTCAGATGGAATCTCCTCTCTTGTAGTTTGAAGCCATTGTTCCGCGTCCTAGTCTCAAGGGAAGCAGAAAACAAGCTTGCTCCCTCCTCCCTGTGGCTTCCTCTCACATATTTATACATGGCTATCATATCCCCTCTCAGCCTTCTCTTCTTAGGGGCTAAACATGCCCAGCTCCTTAAGCCGCTCCTCATAGGGCTTGTTCTCCAGACCCTTGTTTTAACTTGTTCTCCAGACCCTTGTTAAAACTATTGTTTTAACTCTGTATGTATTTATGGTTTTATACTGTGTTATTGATTTGTGGCATCGAATTGCTGCCTTTGTTAGCCGCTCTGAGCCCCCCCACCCCCCCCACGGGGGTTGAGAAGGGCGGGGTAAAAATGCTGTAAATAAATATATAAATAAATAAAATGTTCCAGAAGCATTTCTCCTGATGTTTCACCCACATCAAAGGCTGTGAAGTTGTGAAGTCACAAGCTCTGAGGATGCCTGCCAAAGATGTGGGCGAAACAGCAGGAGAGAATGCTTCTGGAATATGGCCATACAGGCCAAAAAACCTACAACAACCCAATGATTCCAGCCATGAAGGCCATACAGCCCGGAAAACTCACAGCCATACAGCCTGGAAAACTCACAGCAATCCAATGATTCCAGCCATGAAGGCATTAGAATATATATATTCTATATGTGTGTGTATTTGTGTGGCTGGAAGTGCACTTAAAAATGTACCTGTTTCGACTTACATACAAATTCAGCTTAAGAACAAACTTACCGAACTTATCTTGTTCCTAACTTGGGGCCTGCCTATATCTCTCTATTTATCTATTCCTAGCTTATCTCCAAGGAGGTGGCAATTTTGACTCATTTTCTTAGGAGTACATCTCACTGAATTCCCAAGTTAACAAGCACAGGGTTGGACTGAACATGTCTTGCATTTAGACAGTTCAGTCCAAGGAACTGAGAGTAAAGCCATGGATTGAATGCATAGTTTGCTTGGGCTGCTACGACTCCTCTCCTACCATTTCCTCTTGCATCAGCCACACTCTTCCCGGATGCGTTTGGCAGGAGGCCTAAGAATATTCTTGGCTTAATGCATTTTAATTTCAACAGAATTGGCTGTGGGACATACAAGGAGGAAGGTTCATTTTCCTGCCATGAATAAGATGCAGTTTTACAGAATTGAGATATTTGAGATAACATTTCTAAAAAAAAAATAAATTAAAAAAATGAGACTGTAGACTAAATTGTGGAGGAAGGAACTGACACTGCGTACTTCTTGCCTAAGGAAATCCACAAGCTCACTGTGGGTGCACCTACACTATAAAATTAATATAGTTTGACACCACTTTAGCTGCCGTGGATCAATGCTATGGAATCATGGGAATTGTTGATGTTTTTGTTACTGTCCGACTCAGGGGGTGGATGCTCATCTCCATTTCTAAGCCGAAGAGCTGAAGTTGTCCATAGACACCTCCAAGATCAGGTGGCCAGCATGACTACATGGAAGTTGGGGCTAACAGTGGGAACTCACCCCACTCCCTAGATTCGAACTGCAGACCTTTCGGTCAGCAAGTTCAGCAGCTCCACAATGTCTTTAGTCCGACTCAGGGGGTGGTGCTCATCTACATTTCTAAGCCGAAGAGCTGACGTTGTCCATAGACACCTCCAAGATCATGTGGCCAGCATGGCTACATGGAATGCCATTACCTTCTGCTGAAGTGGTAGCTATTGATCTACTCACATTTGTATGTTTTTGAAATGCTAGGTTGGCAGAAGCTGGGGCTAACAGTGGGAACTCACCCCACTCCCCAGATTCGAACTGCAGACCTTTCAGTCAGCAAGTTCAGCAGCTCCACAATGTTTTTAGTCCGACTCAGGGGGTGGTGCTCATCTCAATTTCTAAGCTGAAGAGCTGATGTTGTTCATAGACACCTCCAAGATCATGTGGACAGCGTGACTGCATGGAGGGCCATTACTTTCCGCCAAAGTGGTAGCTATGGATCTACTCATATTGCATGTTTTCGAACTGCTAGGTTGGCAGAAGCTGGGGCTAACAGTGGGAGCTCACCCCGCTCCCCAGATTCGAACTGCTGATCTTTAGGTCATCAAGTTCAGCAGCTCAGTGGTTTAACCCGCTGTGCCACTTATAATCCAGTTCAAATTAGATAATCTGGATTTTATATGGCAGCGTAGAAGGGGCTTCAGTATCTGGATCCTCCTCCTTGTTCTCACTCGAGAATGTGGTGGAACAGAGAGAAGGCCCTCCTCAGAGGATATTAGGGAGCATCTACACTGTGGAACGAATGCAGTTTGATTCCACTTGAATTTCCATGGCTCATTCCTATGGGATCACAGGTGTTGTGGTTTTACAAGGTCTTTAGTCTTCTTTGTCAAAGAGCGTTCGTGCCTCAACAAAGGCAGAAACAGACAAAAAGTGGGTATGCCAACAGGTCTCTCCTATCTTAAAGCTTCTTTTTCTTCTCTCTGACGCAAGTTACGCTCCTTCAACCCCTGAGGAAGAATGTGGCAACCATGCTCTGAACAAACCTTGCCAAGAAAATCCCATGATAGGCTCACCATGAGGCAGAAGGACTTGGAGGCATACAACAAGAAGTTTTGACAGTTCCTCTTCCATCACCACCATCCCACACAAACCCTTGGAGGCTTGAATTCAACACTAGCAGAGAGCTTTTGGAAATTAAGTATATACCATGTACAATGATAACACTCTTAAACGAACACCACCACCACCATCACAACAACAGACTTTCTTGGTGGCTCTTACCAGGTTTTGGAATTCTTTACCCTCCTTACGATCCCTTTGTCAGCAAAAAAAAAGCATTTCTATTCCAAATCTGATTGAAAATACCATTTTACTTTTTTTCAACTTCCTAATGGTTTTGATTTAGATGCTTTTAATTTTTGTATATTATTTACCAAAGTTTAACAATGAAATTTCTGTAGATTTTTCCTATGTAAAAAAATCTACCTGCATACATTTTTCCGTATTTGTTTTAATTTTCATAAGCCACTTTAACTACCACCTTTGCAATAAAAAGTTGGATATAAATGGATACATTTCCATGATAAAATCAGAAGGAAACTACTGTATATACTTGAGAATAAGTCGACCCAAATATAAGCTGAGGCACCTATTTTTACCAAAAAACCCGGAGAGAACGTATTGACTCGAGTATAAGGCGAAGGTGGGAAGTGCAGCAGATACTGGTAAATTTCCAAATAAAAATAGATACCAATAAAATTACATCAGTAGGTTAAATGTTTTTGAATATTTACATAAAACTGTAATTTAAGAGAAGACTGTGTCAAACTCTAACCATTGTTATAACCTTTTTCAATGTAAATGGGCTCACATATCCTTCCAATAATAATAATAGAGTAAAACAATAAATGTAATAAAAATAAAAATAATAGAGTAAAATAATGTAAATGTAATAATAACAGTAATAATATAATAAAATAACAAAAAGTAATAATAATGTAATAAAATAATAATAGAGTAAAATAATGGAAATGTAATAATAATAAATAGAGGAAAATGATAAATATAATCTATATAAATAAAAACATAATGTTTGTTTGTGGGATTAACATAACCCAAAAACCACTGGGCGAATGGACACCAAATTTGGACACAATACACCCACCCATCACTCCAACAAGTGACCATCACTCATAAAAACGCTGAAAAACACAGTGGAAGAGACTTTAAAAGCCAAAAAATAAAAATACATTACAATGCATGCTCAAAACCACACATATACACATATACACAGACTGGACCACAGCAACATGTTGCAGGGGACGGCTAGTAATAATAATAACAGAGTAATAAATAACTTTGGTGCAAGTATACGTTGAGGGGGGCTTTTTCAGCCTTAAAAAAGGGCTGAAAAACTCAAGTATATACTGTAAATTACTTTCTGTGCACACTAGAAGACTAGCCATCTCTGTTCAAGCTAACAGTACAAAGCAGAAGCTTTCAGTGAAAGGTCTCCCCATAATTTGCAATAATGAGGCCGTGGAGCAACTCACCTCTGGATCTGTTGGATACATGGCACTACAAACACCCGGCCTCCAGCTATCATGACCGGGGGACTGCGGCAGAAACCTATGGGGAAAGGGGATGAAATTAATATAGCATACCAAGGCATAAGAAATCAGAGGCCGTCTGCTTGGAAGGGATATACAGTTCGCTGAGAAGTACAAAAGGAAATTAGGCTACACTTAGGAGGAAGCAACCCTGCTGCACAAAGTGATTGAGGTGGATTGATTAGATCTTGTCCTCTTCTTTGTATTTAGTGACAGCCAAGGTAGGTGCAAGAAGAGATTTCAGAAATGTTAGGGAGAGCAAAGGGTGGGAATCATATAGCTCTTGCTGCAGAACAGCAACTCCCAAAACTCTTAATCATTGCTCACAGTGATGTGAGTTGGTTAGACTCACATCTAACCAACTCACATCACAGGAGTTGTATTCAACAACAACAACAACAACAACAATCTTTATTCATACCCCACCACCATCTCCCCAATGAGGGCTCGGAGCGGCTTACATGAGGCCAAGCCCAAACAACAAAATTACAATAAAATAAGACCGAATACGCAAACCGAAAATGCAAACAAAGCACAACATCCTTATAACATAAAACATGTGAATAAATAACAATATAAAATTACAATAACAATCATAATTACAAGATCTAGAGGTCTGCTCAATTCTCATTCTACAAAAGAGATGCTAGAGAAGACTAGGAATTAATATGAGCTGAGCATCTCTCATCCAGAATTCTGAAATCCAAAATCTCAAAAGGTCCATATGAATGAGGAGCATAATCTGCTTTCTGAAGATGTGGTCATGCATAAAATTATTGAAAATAATGCTTATAAAATTACTCCCCATGGTATAAGGTGCATATTAAACATAAATGAATTTCATATTTAGATCTGGGTCCCATCTTCAAGACATCTCCTTGTACACATATATGCCAGGACAGGTATTTCCTGAGTCCCCTTGGTGAGATAGGGTGGTATATAAACATCATCATCATCATCATTATTATTATTATTATTATTATTATTATTATTATTATTATTATTTCAAAAATCTGAAAAAAACCTGAAATCCAAAATATTTCTGTTCCAAATAATTTTGGATAAGGGATACTCAATCTGTACACTAAAAATGCAGTTTGGTCAGGAAGAAGAGCCCCTGCCCTCGTTCTCACCTCCTTTGCAGATGTGACTGGTGGGAACAAGAGACAGGGCCTTCTCGGTGGTGGCCCCTCGGCTATGGAACACCTTTCCTAGGGATATTAGATTGGCCACCTCCCTCTTAACATTTTGAAAGAGAGTCAAAACCTGGCTTTTTGAGCAAGCATTTGCAGATGCAGCGTAATAGGCTATTTTAGATCCCTGGAATGATTAGACTATGCAATTGGAAAATGTTTTTATTAATGAGACGTTGAGGACTTGTGTTTTATTGTATTTATTGTTTTTATATAGTTTATATTATATGTTAATTATATATAACTAACCGTCCCCTGCCACGTGTTGCTGTGGCCCAGTCTGTGTATATGTATGTGTATATTTGTGTATATGTGTATATATGTGGTTTTGCGCATGCGTTGTAATGTATTTTTTAAATTTTTTTGGCTTTTTGAGTCTCTTCTGCTGTGTTTTTCAGTATTTTTATGAGTGATGGTCACTCACTGGACTGATAGGTGTCTTGTGTCCAAATTTGGTGTCAATTCGTCAGTGGTTTTTGGGTTATGTTAATCCCACAAACGAACATTACATTTTTATTTATATAGACTAGCCATCCTCTGCCACACACTGCTGTAGCCCAGTCTGCTGATCTGGAAAATAATGGTTTCTAATATATGTAATTTCTTTATGCTTGTGGATAAACAGTATTTCTTGTTGTTTCTTTGTCAGTGTTGATGTGGAGAGTGTCTGGTGTGCCTACTCTGGAACATGCAACATATCATTATCCTTCTTTATGGGTCCCTTTCAAATCTATGATATTATATCTGTGAATCATATATATCTATCTCTATCAATGGCTGGATGGCTCTTTGTCAGGAGGACTTTGATTCGATTTTCTTGCCCTGGTGAAGAGAGTTGGATTGGATGGCCTTAAGTATTTTCTGTTAGTCATGGGGGTTCTGTGTGGGAAATTTGCCCCAATTCTGTCGTTTGCGGGGTTCAGAATGCTCTTTGATTGTAGGTGAACTATAAATCCCAGTAACTACAACTCCCAAATGTCAAGGTCTATTTTCCTCAAACTCCATCTGTGTTCATATTTGGGCATATGGAATATTTGTGCCAAGTTTGGTCCAGATCCATCATTGTTTGAGTCCACAGTGCTCTCTGGATGTAGGTGAACTACAACTCCTGAACTAAAGGTCAATGCCCACCAAACCCTTCTAATCTTTTCTTTTGGTCATGGGAGTCTGTGTGTCACCTTTGGTTCAATTCCATCATTGGTGGAGTTCAGAATGCTCTTTGATTGTAGGCGAACTATAAATCCCAAGAACTACAACTCCCAAATGACAAAATAAAAAAATGAGTGAAGGATATACATTGGGTTGTTAGGTGCATGCTGTCCAAATTTGGTGTCAATTCGTCCACTGGTTTTTGAGTCCTGTTAATCCCACAAACGAACAGTACATTTTTATTTATATAAATTATATTTTATGTTATTGGGGGCATTGAATTTTGCCGTTTGTAAATCACCCTGAGTCGCCTTTGGTCTGAGAAAGGCGGTATATAAATATGGAAAATAAATAAAGAGAGAGGAAATCATTTTGATCATCTCCACGCATATGGAGACACTCCTCACTCACCCCTCCCTTCTTTTGTAGGTTGTACTCATTCAACTCCATGTTGGAAAAATGCCAGTGTTTCGCTTGCAATAGTGGCGAGAATTGCAGGAAACAGGATGCGTGTAGGCTTGTGTGTTTCCTGTTCACCAGCATTTTCAAACATTTAAGATTTGACAATTCAGATTTGCAACAGCTCTGCTTTCCATTGGTTGCATACTAGAATCACAGAGTTCGAAGAGACCACAAAGGTCATCCAGTCCAACCCCTGCATGCAGGAAAAGCACAATCAAAGCAACTTTTCTTGTTTGGACACCTTACTCTTATTGATGGAACCTAAAATCACATTCGCTTTTTTAGCTTCTGCATCACACTTCTGACTCACATTCAGCTCATGGTTTACTAAGACTCCCAGATGCAATTCACATGTAGTGTTTTCAAGCCAGGGGCCACCCATCCTGTATCTGTACATTTCTTTTTTATTACTCAACTATAGTACTGTACATTTCTCCCTGTTGAAATTCATTTTGTTAGTTTTGGCCCTGCTCTCTAATCGGTTAAGGCCATTTTGGATTCTGATCCTGTCCTCTGGGGAATTAGCGATCCCTCCCAATTTGGTGTCACCTGCAGATTTGATAAACATGCCTTCTACTCCGTCATCCAAATCACTGATAAAGATAAATATTTGGATGATAAAGAACATTCCATAATGCAAAATTTTGTTGCAGTTCTCACTTGTCTATCCTATTGGCAAGTTTAGGAGCTTGACTTACAATGGCTAAGGATGTAGTCAAATTTATTTTGAAACTATCTTGGGGAACCGACAATTTATTTATTTATTTATTTATTTACTATGCTTATATATCGCAATTCTCAGCCTACTGGCGACAATGTCCAGGTTATTTGAAAAAGGCACTGTTTGTTTTGGGGTGTTGGAAAATATCAGTTTGGTAAGTTCTTGTGGGTTTTTTCGGGCTATATGGCCATGTCCTAGAGCAGTGGTTCTCAACCTGGGGTCCCCAGATGTTTTTGGCCTTCAACTCCCAGAAATCCTAACATCTGGGGACCCCAGGTTGAGAACCACTGTCCTAGAGGCATTTCTCCTGACGTTTCGCCTGCATCTATGGCAAGCACGTCAGGAGAAATGCCTCTAGAACATGGCCATATAGCCCGAAAAAACCCACAAAAACTTAGTGATCCCAGCCATGAAAGCCTTCGACAATATCAGTTTGGTAGTTTCTAGCTTTGTGTTATCAAAGGCTTTTATGGTCGGAATCACTGGGTTGCTGTAAGTTTTCAGGCTGTATGGCCATGTTCTAGAAGCATTCTCTCCTGACGTTTCACCTGCATCTATGGCAAGCATCCTCAGAGGTTGTGAGGTCTGTTGGAAACTAGGAAAATTGGGTTTATATATATACCCTGGACATTCCAAAGATATATAAATCTCACTTGCCTAGTTTCCAACAGACCTCACAACCTCAAAGATGCAGGCGAAATGTCAGGAGAAAATGCTTCTGGAACATGGCCATACAGCCCTGACAACTTACAGCAACCCAGTTTGTAGCTCTATTTCTTAGAAAATACAGTATTTCCTTTATGAATGGTCCCATTAGAAAATGCATACAAGTCCCATCATTGGTGGCAAGTGCTGTCCAGAGCCATTATTGGTTGGGTTCACAGTGCTCTCTGGATGTAGGTGAACTACAACTCTTATAAATTATGAATTCTCCCCAAACTTCTTGTTCAGTTACTGATCAATTCCTCTGTTTGCTGTGTGCTGTAGGGAAGAGTTAATGGAGAGGCAGTGGGCGGGGTCATGCAAATTCCACACCTATTTATTTATTTATTTATTTATTACAGTCGCTTACACAACAAGGCACAATTCGATGCCCGCATTACATGATAACAAAACATAACATCAATAACAATAGCAATTATAACAATGATAACAATTAACCTAAGCAGTCATTATTATCGGCGACACATCCAAAAACCCATAAAGTAAAAGCAGTTAAAACCATTTAAAACAGTAAAAGCAATGGAGTAAAAGCACCTATGGAGAGTAAGGAACCTTGGGATGTCAATTCTGGAAGAAAAACAGAAAATCTAGGAGGAAATTGTCCCCGTATGAAAGCCTTCACTTGGGTGGGGTGGGGGGTGGGGGGCTGTATGGCATTTGTGGAGGACATTGGCAGGGGTTGGACTACACGTTCATGATGTTTGCTATAACCTGCAATGTCATTGGAGAGAGTGCTTTTGATGGCTCCTCAGCACAGTGGGCTGTTTGTGGAGGTGGAGGCTGTCTGAATGGACACATACACACATATACATTTTCACTACATACACATTTTCACTTTTATTATGTGTATAGCAGATAGATAGTAGATATTTATAGATAGATGGGGCAGCACAGAAATAACACAATGTTACAGGATTGTTGTTCCTGGGTTACAAATGTCATTTCCTAATTTGCTCTACCATCAAAACATTGAAAATGTTTATTAAACTGATAAAATATTGTTTTTGTAGGACGTCCTGCAGCATATTTTGCTATCGAGTCTCATCGAGTCTCAACCAATTCAATCTAGTTTGTGGCAGCCACGAAAACGAAATTACTGGAGTATTACCACTACCTTCAAAGTATGTATTGCACAATTAAACAGGAAATAACACTTTCAAACCAGGAACAGATTTTTATTTGCAAAGTTTGTTACATAGAGTTATCAGGAATTTCCCCTTGAAAGAACTCATGCCTACACAGACAATCTTCCAAGCAAAAGAAATTAATAACAGAATACAGAGTGCCTGTTGAGGCCAGAGACAGATAACAACAAAGGGGAGAAGGAACAGAGTGGGACATGCTGAAAGAAGATAGGGCTGGCTGGAGCGTTGAAAAAGCCTTCTACACCGCAACACTCTGTTGCAGGTCGTTAACACTTATTTAGTAAAGGAAAAGAAAATGCGGCACTTACCTGAGACCACCATGGCCTCATTGGGGCCACAGGTAAAGAACATCTTGATGCCAGGAGGATCTGGAAAAGTATAGGAAACATATCTTAAGAGTCATAACAATCAGCTTCTCTTTCCTTGTCCACCTTCGTAGAATCATTGAATCATAGAATCAAAGAGTTGGAAGAGACCTCATGGGCCATCCAGTCCAACCCCCTGCCAAGAAGCAGGAATATTGCATACAAATCACACCTGACAGATGGCCATCCAGCCTCTGTTTAAAAGCCTCCAAAGAAGGAGCCTCCACCACACTCCGGGGCAGAGAGTTCCACTGCTGAACAGCTCTCACAGTCAGGAAGTTCTTCCTCATGTTCAGATGGAATCTCCTTTCTTGTAGTTTGAAGCCATTGTTCCGCGTCCTAGTCTCCAGGGAAGCAGAAAACAAGCTTGTTCCTTCCTCCCTGTGGCTTCTTCCCACATATTTATACATGGCTATCATATCGCCTCTCAGCCTTCTCTTCTTCAGGCTAAACATGCCCAGCTCCTTAAGCCGCTCCTCATAGGGCTTGTTCTCCAGGCCCTTGATCATTTTAGTTGCCCTCCTCTGGACACATTCCAGCTTGTCAATATCTCTCTTGAATTGTGGTGCCCAGAATTGGACACAATATTCCAGGTGTGGTCTAACCAAAGCAGAATAGAGGGGTAGCATGACTTCCCTAGATCCAGACACTATGCTCCTATTGATGCAGGCTGAAAACCCATTGGCTTTTTTTGCTGCCACATGACATTGTTGGCTCATGTTTAACTTGTTGTCCACGAGGACTCCAAGATCTTTTTCACACGTCCTGCTCTCGAGCCAGGCATTGTCCCCCATTCTGTATCTTTGCATTTTGTTTTTCCTGCCAAAGTGGAGTATCTTGCATTTGTCCCTGTTGAACTTCATTTTGTTAGTTTTGGCCCATCTCTCCAATCTGTTAAGATCATTTTGAATCCTGCTCCTGTCCTCTGGAGTATTGGCTATCCCTCCCAATTTGGTGTCGTCTGCAAACTTAATGATCATGCCTTCTAGCCCTTCATCTAAGTCATTAATAAAGATGTTCAAGACATTTCCAGCTTACGGAAACCCTATACCAGCATTTTCTAGGCAAGAGTTGTTCAGAGAAGCCTTACCCTTGCCATTCTTGTGGCTAAGAGAATTACTTTAATAATAATAATAATAATAATAATAATAATAATAATAATAAATTAAAGATTGAACTGCAAAGACTCTGGCACAAACCAGTAAAGGTGGTCCCAGTGGTGATCGGCACACTGGGTGCAGTGCCTAAAGACCTTGGCCTGCACTTAAACACAATTGCGCGCTGACAAGATTACCATCTGCCAGCTGCAAAAGGCCACCCTACTTGGATGTGCACGCATTATTCGCCAATACATCACACATTCCTAGACACTTGGAAAGTGTCAGATGTGTGATCCAGTACAACAGCTAGCAGAGTGATCTTGCTTGCTGTGGACCCATCTTGTTGTGTTTCAAATAATAATACACTTTATTTATATTCTGCTCTATCTCCCTGACGGTATTGAGTGCATTACAGTATACACATATACAGGCAAACAATCAATGTCTTTTGTTTGTGCATACAATACACAAACAAAGGCAAAGGTTTTCCTTTCCATCTTCAGCATCTGGAGACAATGCTCAACTCTGGTTATGGGGAGGTGCTCTTGTTTTATTTTCTATTCCAAGTGGCCTGTTATCTGTAGACCCTCCTGGTCGTGTTTTGCTGGCATGGCTGCATGGTGCCTTTTAACTTCCTGCCTCGGCGGTACCGAATTATCTACTCACATTACATGTTTGCAAGTTGCTAGGTAGGCAGAAGCTAGGGCTGACAATGGAAGCTCATCTCGACCTGCAGCTTCGAACTGCCAACCTTTCGGTCAGCAAGTATTCTGCAGCTAGCAGATTAACCCCCTGAGCTACCATTACATTGCAAAAGATACGCAATGAGTTTCCACACCAAGCAAGGATTTGAATGCTGGTCTTCCAGAATCCTAGTCCAAAGCTTTCCCTTTTCCATTTTCAATGATACTCTGTATTTACTTCAATGATACTCTGTATTTACTTCTATTAAGACATGGCTTTCTCTGTTCCAGGCTTTTAATATAAACTCTAAAAAACAATGGATTATGGGATTTTAACAATGGATTATGGGGCGTCACCATAACATGAGGAACTGTATGAATGGGTCTCAGCATTAGGAAGGTTGGAAACCACTGCCTTAAGCTATACCAGGCTTTGCAGCTCAGCACCTTGAACCATGCCTAGCAATAAACAAGGTGCCAGTACTGCTGTTTAAATATTAGCCAGAAGTGTATCCATACTGCACAATTACAACAGTTTGGGATCACTAGGTATCTCTAGGTCAACATGCAATGGAAATTGAGCACAGAGTTGTGCTGGAGAACTTAAAAGTTTCTCAGAGAGAGCATATTAATTACATCCGCAAAAGTGAAACCAGCAAATGTGGAGAGCTGACTAATTGCCAGCATTACGTAAGGCGAAGGAATTAAAGTAACAGCAAACTGTTGTAATTATGCAGTGTAAATACACCACTGGTTGGCCTCTCCCAGCTGTATTCACTTGCACTTTCCACTATCTGCAGTCTTCAAAGGCAGCCCTGCCTACAATGCACTAAAGTGATTATAGTGCCATAACAACCAAGGGTGCCTTCACAGCGTAGAAGTAATGCAGTTTGACCCCACTTTAACTGCCATGACTCAATGCTACGGATACATGGGAGTTGTAGTTTGACAAGATCATTAGCCTTCTCTGCAAAAGACTGTGGGTGAATGATAAACGACAGCTCCCAGGATTCCACAGCATTGAACCAAGGCAGTTAAAGTGGCTTCAAACTGCATTAATTTGACAGTGTAGAAGTAGACGCCAAACTTCTATTTCCCCTGCTTACAAGGAGATGAATGTGGCACATAATTCCGACCTTACGTGGTACATTTTGAATATCATTTAAGAGATGAAAGCATAACAACAACAACAACAACAACAATAACCAGAGGCTTTGCAGTTCGATTTTGAGGTCTTGATAGCGGCTGAGTTTTTCCTGTTGAGGAAAAACAGTAGGAAAAACTCAGCCGCTATCAAGGCCTCAAAATCGAACTGCAAAGGTTCTGGCATAAACCAGTACAGGTGGTCCCAGTGGTCATTGGCACACTGGGTGCTGTGCCAAAAGATCTCAGCCAGCATTTAGAAACAATAAACATCGACAAAATCACTATCTATCAATTATTTGGATCTGCGCGTATCATTCGAAAATACATCACACAGTCCTAGACGCTTGGGAAGTGTTCGACTTGTGATTTTGTGATACGAAATCCAGCATAGAGATCTCGTTTGCTGTGACATATTGTGCTTTTGTGTCAGTAAAATAGTAATAATAATAATAATAATAGTATGCCAGGTTTCCAAGACAGCAATAAGGGACAGACTAAGTCGACAAATGCCATGCAAGGCTGACAATCAGGATGGAGCTATTAACGTGTTTTCTAAATGAAAATAACAATTTTGTTGCACTTAGTCATGTGTTTCTCTGTAAAATTAAAATATTGTCTGCTTTTGCAAGTCTTATGACACACACATTTCTATATTTATAAAGGGCCCACACTTCAAAATACGGGTATTTTTTAGCATCTTGTTTAGACTTGAGAAAAGGAAAAAGTTTCAAACTCTCAAAGAGGAGACACCCCAGTCCTATAAAAGGACAACCTTTCTGGACTTCAAATAAAGGGAATATTTTATACTAAGGGTTTATCTACACTGTAGAATTAATGTAGTTTGACACCACTCTAACAGTCATGGCTTGATACTACAGATACAAGAGAGCTTTATTTTGATGAGGCTAACAACCTTGTCAAACAATACTATCTACTAGGTTCTTGTAGGTTTTTTCGGGCTATAGGGCCATGTTCTAGAGGCATTCCTCCTGACGTTTCGCCTGCATCTATGGCAAGCATCCTCAGAGGTAGTGAGGTCTGTTGGAAATAGGAAAATGGGTTTATATATCTGTGGAATGGCTGGGGTGGGGCTATCTACTTGTTGTTGTTGTTGTTGTTGTTGTTGTTGTTGTTGTTGTTATAATTCACTTTATATCCTGCCTTTCTCCCCATAGGGACTCAAGGTAGCTAACAATAATGTAACACAACCTACTTGTAATTTAAAATAAGATGAATCCAAACATTTAAAAGTGTCATCTATGTTGACGATCGTGCCATCACCGCTCAAGCAGGGAGCTTTGAAATGGTTGGAGAAGCTCCCTGAAGCTTTAGGTGCTCTTACTGCCTATTATACATGGAAAACCAGCTGGTTTCTAAGCCATCTAAAATGCAGACATGTGCTTTTCAGCTGAAGAACAGACAAGCATCTTGAGCTCTGAGGATTACTCAGAATCCCACTGGAGAATTGCAGCTCACCAAAATAATTGGGAGTTACTCTGGACAGTGCTCTGACTTATAAGAAGCACTGTTTGAATATCAAGCAAAAAAGTGGGCACTAGAAACAATATCATACGAAAGCTGACTGGCACAACCTAGGGATCACAACCAGACACAATTAAGACATCTGCCCTTGCGCTTTGCTACTCTGCTGCTGAGTATGCATGCCCAGTATGGAACACATCTCACCACACTAAAACAGTGGATCTAGCTCCTAATGAGACATGCCACATTATTTCAGGATATCTATTATCCTGTAATTATACTGTTTAGTCAGTATTAACGTTTGTAATTGGGCGTACCCACCCTTTTCAATTATTGTGATTTTATATTGTATCTTGTGTTTATTTTGTATTGTTCTTTTATTATTTTTATTATATTTTATTTGGTGTATTATTGTATGTTTGTATATTTGCTTTGTTGTAACTGTTGGGCTTGGCCTCATGTTAGCCACTCCGAGTCCCCTTGGAGAGATGGTGGCGGGATATAAATAAAGATTATTATTATTATTATTATTATTATTATTGCATCCCCTTACATCCACTGGGAAGTAGCAGCTTGTAATGAAAGGACCAAGGCATTGATATATCCGGCCCATCCTCTGTTTGGATATCAGCAAGCAAACCGACACCTTAAATCAAGAAATAGCTTCCTAAGACCTACAGAGATACTCGCAGGAACACCTCATCAAGCGAGAGTCCAAAAGTGGCAGGCTAAAACTTTGAAGATCAATCAGTGGCTGATACTGGATGAGAAAATCCCTCCTGGACACACACAAGACTGGGTGACTTTGAAGGTGCTGAACAGACTGTGCTCTGGCACCACGAGATGCAGAGCCAATGTTAAGAAATGGGGCTAAAAAGTGGAGTCACAACATGCGAGTGTGGAGAAGAGCAAACCACATACCACCTACTACAATGCATCCTGACCATGCACAACGGAGGACCTTCTCACAGCAACATCAGAGGCACTCCAAGTAGCCAGCTACTGGCCAAAGGACATTTAGTTTTTTTAATTTTGTGCTTTTAGATACATTATAACTGTACCCTACATTCACTTCTGACACGATAGATAAACAAACATTAAAAAAACCACAATTAAATATTTGTGAGTGGATACATTTGCGTATCAGTGCTTGTCGCGTGCAGCGACAGCTAGTTCCCATCCAAAAGATATGTTACAACTGCCAACCCTATAAAAGAACAAGCCTTCTGAATCAATATAAATAAAAACATAATGTTAGTTTGTGGGATTAACATAACTCAAAAACCACTGGACGAATTGACACCAAATTTGGACACAATACACGTATCAGGCCAATGAGTGACCATCACTCATAAAAACACTGAAAAACACAGTGGAAGAGACTTAAAAACCAACAAACAAAAATATAACACATGCGCAAAACCATATATATGTGTGTGTGTGTGGTTTTGCGCATGTGTTATATTTTTGTTTGTTGGTTTTTAAGTCTCTTTCACCATGTTTTTCAGTGTTTTTATGAGTGATGGTCACTCGTTGGCCTGATAGGTGTATTGTGTCCAAATTTTTGAGTTATGTTAATCCCACAAACGAACATTACATTTTTATTTATATAGATACACACACACACATACGCAATCACACACATACACACACAAAACACATATACACAGACTGGGCCACAGCAACGCGTGGCAGGGGGCGACTAGTCTCAAATAAGATACATATCTTATACTATGAGACTCTAGCAACCCTACTTGTCAATCAATGCTTGGCCCGTGTAATATATTCTTTGCATTCCCCATTATTTCCCTCCCCACCTAAATGCATGTTACAATTGTCAGTCCTATAAAGGGATAAGCTTTTCCAACCCCAAATAAGGGTGATCTTTTCAAGCAACCCTACTTGTGGCTCAATACTCAGCATCACACTCAGTGCATCCTTCCAGAGCAAAGACATGTTCTACAAAACAATGTTTACCTCCCCAGCTAATTCCAACCCAAAGGCGTATTACAATTGCCAGTCCTACTAAAAAAAGGAACTCTTCCTGGGCATTTGTTTATATGTACCAAGAGACATCTGGCAGTCCTGCTAATGGATAATGCTCAGCACATGCATGTTTCCTTTCGGGGCGTAGAAATTCCTGTTGTTTATCTCTCCAGCTAGTTCCCACCCAAAGGCGTGTTTTTACTTGCAAGTCCTATAAAAGGACACGCTTTCTGGCCGATCTCTTATATATGAAGGAACTTATGGATCAGAGCTTGGCACTTCCCTATAGGGCACAGAAATCCCCTACAACTCATTGTTTACCTCTTCAGTGAGTGCCCAATGAAAGAACACTTTAGTTGTAAGTTTTTTGGGCTGTATGGCTATGTCCCAGAAGCATTCTCTCCTGACGTTTCACCTGCATCTATGGCAGGCATCCTCAGAGGTTGTGAGATGCCTGCCACAGATGCAGGAGCAACATCAGGAGAGAATGCTACCGAAACGTAGCCTGAAAAACTTACAACAACCCTGTGATTTCCGCCATTAAAGCCTTTGACAATACAAAAGTACGCTTTTCAGTCTTTTAAAAAAGACAACTTTTATGGCTATCTAATAAGAGGCATCATTTATATACGTACTAAGGGGCATTTAGTAACCTTACTTGTGGATCAATGCTCGGCACATTGAAATCCTGCACAACCTATTATTTACCTCCCTAGCTAGTTTTCAAATGTGGTGGAGTCCCCTTCTCTGGAGGATTTTAAACAAAGGCAGGATAGCCATCTTTCGGGAGTGCTTTGATTGTGTTCTCCTGCATGGCAGAATCGGGTTGGACTGGATGGCCTTTGGGGACCCCTCCTATCTCTTATCTCATTTCAATTCTATGAAATGAGCACTCCCTGCAATGGAGAATGAATTCAGTATGATACTGCTTTGACTGCCATGGCTCAATGCTATGGAGTAATAGGAGCTGTAGTTCTGCAAGGTCTTGAGCCTCCTCTGCCAAAGAGTGCTGCTGCCTCACCAAACTACAAATCCCAGGATCCCATAGCATTAAAGTGGTGCAAACTGTATTCTTTGCTTAGTGTGGATCAATTTCTGGTCTTAAGTAAGATACAAGAAGCCTTGCCAAACTACAAATCCCATTATTTCATAGTACAAGGTGCACCTGCACTGTCAAATTAACACAGTTTGACACCAGCCTTAAGTTCCAGGGTTCAATATTGTCCTGGGAAGTGTAGTTTTCAAAGGTCTTTATCCTTCTCTGCCAAAAAGGGCTTGTGCCTCGCCAGACTACAGATCCTAAGATTTCATAGTACAGGATACATATGCACTGTCGAATTAGCATAGTTTGACGCTGATCTTATGTGCCATGATTCAATATTATCCTGGGAAGTGTAGTTTTCAAAGGTCTTTAACCTTCTCTGCCAAAAAGGGCTTGTGCCTTGTCAAACTACAGATTCCAAGATTTCATAGCATAGGGTGCATCTACACTGTAGAATTAATAGTTTGACACCAATCGTAAATGAACAGGGCACAATATTATCCTGGGAAGTGTAGTTTTCAAAGGTCTTTAACCTTCTCTGCCAAAGAGGGCTTGTGCCTCACCAAACTACAGATCCCAAGATTTCATAGCATAGGGTGCATCTACACTATAGAATTAATACAGTTTGACACCAATCTTAACTGGACAGGGCTCAATATTATCCTGGGAAGTGTAGTTTTCAAAGGTATTTAACCTTCTCTACCCAAAAGGGAAAACTACAAATCCCAGGGTCCCAAACTTGATTAAATGCATAGTGTGGATGCACAAATATAGAACCGAGGAGGGAAACTCTGATTCCCCTTAGACACTGCCCTATATAATCCAGATTATCTGATTTGAACTGGATTATATGGCAGTGTAGACTCATATAATCCAGTTCAAAGCAGATAATGTGGATTATCTGCTTTGATAATGTAGTGTAGAAGGGGCCTGAAGGTGCATCTCTACACTGCTTGGCATCACTTCCAATTGCCATGACTCATTGCTCTTGGAACCCCTGGGATTTGTAGTTTGCTGATGCAGGGAAGGCTCAAGACCTTGTGAAAGCTACACATCCCAGGATCCCATAGTACTGAGCCAGGGTATTGCTTCTATCCTAGATGCAGCCCAGGATAAATCAATGCCAAAGCACTAGTCCTGTTCTCATTAGAGGCAGCTCCAGAAGGTTGCAAAGAGGAGTAAGCAATATATTTTGCAATGCAACCAGACACTGGGCAATCTGGAAACAGGCAAAGCCCTTGCTCATTGGCCCCCATTATTTATATTGTATCCCCCCCCCCCCCCACTTACTCTGTACCCGAAGCCGTGAGATCCCTTGATGGCCCTCCTCCTCCTCCTCCTCCTCCTCCTCTTCGGTGTGTTTCTTCCTGCTCTGAGAAGACACTCCCTTCCCGTCTCTGACACCAAGGCTTTCCCATCAGCCCTCGGCCCCGTTACCTTCCCCTTCCCTTGTTCCCAATACTCAGCTATGAGAGTCAATGCAAGCCCAGCTGCCCCCGCCACCTGCTGGCAGGTTCCCCAAATTGCACCCTCCAAGGGGATTATTTTATCCCCAAAGGCAAAGCTGTATACAGGCATTGAAAGAGAAGCCATTGAAATCCACAAGCATGTGGACAATTTCAACAGAAAGGAGGAGACCATGAAAATGAACAAAATCTGGCTACCAGTATTAAAAAACTCTAAAATTACAACAGCAAAACAGCAGAGAGGAAACAACCAGGCACATCTTAACACCTCTCAGCAAAAGATTTTCCCAGGCTCAGCCAGGCCTTCAAATGCTAATGAAGGTGGTCAGTTGAAACATTCACACCTAGCTCCAGCAGAGAAGAGCTCTTTGCCCCACCCTGGTCATTTCACAGATATCTCTTCTTCTTCTCTCTTAGGCGATCCCTCGTTGGACGAGTAAGATGGTCTTCCATTATGGATTTCCTTGTGGGTCCGTATGTGGCTGTGGAGCCCTATTCTTGCTCTGCATCTTCTTCCGCAGTGAGGGCATTGGTTTCCAGGTGGAAGGCGGTCCCGGTCGGGGTTGGCTTGACGCGCTTTCCTCCTGGCACGTTTCTCTCTTTCACCCTCCACTCGTGCCTCCTCAAATTCTGCAGCACTGCTGGTCACAGCTGTCCTCCAGCTGGAGCGCTCAAGGGCCAGGGCTTCCCAGTTCTCAGTGTCTATGCCAGAGTTTTTAAGGTTGGCTTTGAGCCCGTCTTTAAATCTCTTTTCCTGTCCACCAACATTCCGTTTTCCGTTCTTAAGTTCAGAGTAGAGCAACTGCTTTGGGAGACGGTGGTCAGGCATTTTCAATGAGGATGAGGTGCACTACCTCTGAGGATGCTTGCCATAGATGCAGGCGAAACGTCAGGAGAAATGCCTCTAGAACATGGCCCTATAGCCCGAAAAAACCCACAAGAACTGAGTGATTCCAGCCATGAAAGCCTTCGACAGTACATGTATACAGGCAGTACTTTACTTACAGACATATACTGTATATACTCAAGTAAAAGCCTAGTTTTTCAGCGCTTTTTTTAGACTGAAAAAGTCTCCTTCAGCTTTTATTTGAATTAAGGTTATTTATTATTTTACTCTGCTATTATTATTATTATTATTATATTTATTATTTTCCTCTATTATTATTGTTAGTAAATTTATTAAGTTTGCAGCTTGGGAGTGATCCTGGACTCATCGCTGAGCCTAGAACCCTAGGTCTTGGCGGTGGCCGGGAGAGCTTTTGCACAGTTAAAACTTGTGCGCCAGCTGCGTCCATACCTTGGGAAGCCTGACTTGGCCACGGTGGTCCACGCTCTTGTTACATCCCGAATAGACTACTGCAGTGTTTCTCAACCTTCCTAATGTAGGAGCCCCCGGTGGCGCAGTGGGTTAAAGCCCTGTGCCGGCAGGACTAAAGACCGACAGGTTGCAGGTTCGAATCTGGGGAGAGGCGGATGAGCTTCCTCTATCAGCTCCAGCTCCTCATGCGGGGACATGAGAGAAGCCTCCCACAAGGATGATAAAAACATCAAATCATCCAGGCGTCCCCTGGGCAACGTCCTTGCAGATGGCCAATTCTCTCACACCAGAAGCGACTCCTAACACGACAAAAAACAAAAAAACAAAAACAAAAACAAAAAAAAACTTCCTAATGCCGCAACCCCTTAATACAGTTCCTCATGTTGTGGTGACCCCCAACCCTAAAATTATTTTCGTTGCTACTTCTTAACTGGAATTTTGCTACTGTTACGAATTGTCATGAAAATATCTGATAGGCAGGATGTATTTTCATTCTCTGGATCTTGGGAGTTGTAGTTCCTGGGATTTATAGTTCACGTACAATCAAAGAGCATTCTGAACTCCACCAGAGATGGAATTGACCCAAACTTGGCACACAGAACGCCCATGACCAGCAAATAATAATGAAATAGTTAGGTGAGCATTGGCCTTGAGTTAGGGAGTTGTAGTTCACCTATCTCCAGAAAGCACTGTGGACTGAAACAATGATAGATCTGGACTAAACTTGGCACGAATACTCAATATGCCCAAATGTGAACACTGTTGGAGTTTGGGGAAAACAGACCTTGACATTTGGGAGTTGTAGTTGCTGGGATTTATAGTTCACCTACAATCAGAGAGCATTCTGAGCCCCACCAACAATAGAATTGGGCCAGACTTCCTACACAGAACTCCCATGACCAGCACAAAATACTGTGTATCTTGATGGTCTTTGGCGACCCCTCCAACACCCCATCGCGCCCCCCCCCCAGGGATCCCGACCCCCAGGTTGAGAAACACTGGACAACTGCAACACAGTCTACGTGGGGTTGCCTCTGAAGACTGCCTGGAAGCTTCAACTAGTCCAACGTTCAGCAGCCAGGGCTGCTCACTCAGGCTGAATACAGGGAGTGCACAACGCCCTTGTTACGTCAGCTCCACTGCCTGCCTATCAGCTTTTGAGCACAATTCAAAGTGCTGGCTTTGGCCTATGAAGCCCTTAACGGTTATGGCCCAGTTTACTTGTCTAAATGTGTCTCCCGCTATGATCCACCTAGGGCCCTAAGATCATCTGAGGAGACCCTGCTCATTGTCCCCCCCATTGTCGCAATTGTGTCTGGCGGGGACAAGGGACAGGGCCTTTTCTGTGGTGGCCCCCCAGCTATGGAACTCCCTCCCGAGTGAAATTAGATCTGCTGCATCCCTCTTGACCTTCCAGAAAAAAGTAAAATCCTGGCTATGGGATCAGGCCTTTGGAGAGTAGGCTGACCTACTGACATGTTGACTTATTTAGAACTGATAGACTGCCCTTGGATAATGATTTAAATCGGTGACTGCTGACTATTTGTTGTCTGTTTTTATATTGTTTATACAGTTTTATACTGTTTATACTATTTTATATTGTTGTTATTATTAAATTGCTGTTAATTGTATATTAATGATGTTGGCACCATGGGGTGCCAATTTGTTAGCCATCCTGAGTCCCTCTGCAGAGGTTGAGAAAGGATGGGATATAAAAGCCCTAAATAAATAAATAATAATAAATTATTTACTCTATTGTTATTTTGTTTATTAAATTTATTATTATTATTATTACATTTATTATTTTACTCTATTATTATTTGTTTATTAAATTTATTATTTTACTCTTTTATTATTATTACATTATTATTTTACCTTATTGTTATTATTGCTCTTATTATTTTACTCTGTTTATTATTGTTATTATTACATTTATTATTTTACTATCTTATTCTTTGAAACTCAACTGACTAATACAAAATCCTGATTTTCATCAAATAGTTTGACTTCCTTCTGAAGAAAGAAATGATGAGGAATCCTTTGTTGCTCTTTTGATGTGACTTTCTTTTCCATGGTATATGTGTTATGGTGGAACTCCTGAGATGTGAATACTATGTGGATGTTTAGAAAAGGAATTATGTGGTTGTCAAGAAAAGAAAGGGAAGGAAGAAAAAGGGGAAAAAAGAAAAGAAAAGGGAAAGAATTTTAAAAAAAGAAATACGTAATACTATGCGGACAAGCTGGAATGCTATAAAATAGAAAAAAGTGATTCCTGGAAAAGTTAAATATGTTAACATAATGCTAATGAAACATTCGATTATGATTTTGGACATCTTTCAATTTACGCAAATTGGGTTTTTGCAGTTGTCCATGCCTGTGTATGTAAAATAGTCAGAAAGCTCTAGTCATAAGAGAGTACTTTGTTACCTGCTCCCATTCTTGTTTTTTTTATTGATGTAATATCAAGATGTATTTGGACATACTCTGAAACCGTCTTGATCATGAAGATATATTTCTTGCCTTGTAATGAATCTCCAAAAAAAAAAATTGGCATTTTTATTTTATTTTATTACATATGATATGGGGGGGGGGGGGGGGGGGGGGGGGGGAGAGTAGCTGATGGCACTATTGCTGTTAGCTAGATGGAAACAGTTCTAGTTAGGAATAGTTTGCATGGATTTTCCTTTAAAAGTGACTTAAACTCGAGTGAATGGTATAATATGTTATACTTACTTTGTACAAGTTGCCGTCTACACACAGATCTAGACATGTTTCATTATTTCTGAATGTATATTTTCTGATTATATATGAGATTGTGTCAAATAATTAATTAAAAAATATTTAAGAAAAAAAAGAAACACAACAAGATGAGTCCACAGTAAACAAGACCACTTTTCTGGTTGTTGTATTGGATCACACAACGGACACTTCCCAAGTGTCCAGGAGTGTGTGATGTATCGGCAGATAATGCATGCAGATCCCAGTTAGGTGGCCTTCTGCAGCTGGCAGATGGTAATCTTGTCAGCGCCGATTGTGTTTAAGTGCATGCCAAGGTCATTAGGCACTGCACCCAGTGTGCTGATCACCACTGGGACCACTTTTACTGGTTTGTGCCAGAGTCTTTGCAGTTCGATCTTTAAATCCTCATATTGTGTCAGCTTTTCCAGTTGTTTCTCTTCAATCCTGCTGTCACCTGGGATTGCAACATCGACAATCCATACTTTGTTTTTTTAACACAATTGTGAGGTCAGGAGTATTATGCTCCAAAACTCTGTCTGTCTGTATCCGGAAGTCCCAGAGGAGTTTGGTGTCTGACGTGTGATCCAATTCAACAGCCAGCAGAGTGTCTGCTGTGAACTCATCTTGTTGTGTTTCAAATAATAATAATAATAATATTCACTGGAACTTATGTCACAAGTGCCACCTGCCAGCAGTAAAGAACTGGTGAGATCATAAACCTGCAAAGGTCATGGAAAATGAACACGCAAAATTACTGTGGGACTTTAGAATTCAGACTGACAAGTTTTGGAACACAATACACTAGACATCACAATAGTGGAAAAGAAAAAAAGTTTGGATTATTGATGTCACCATACCAGATGACAGTCGCATTGAGGAAAAACAACAGGAAAAACTCAGCCGCTATCAAGACCTCAACCAGTCCAGGTGGT